CGTCGTCGTTCTCCATTGCCGGAAGCTAAACGATAAGTCGCTCTATGTACAGGTTGCTCAGCCATGCCGTTAACAACTGACAGACACGCGTTAATGGGTTTCAACTCTGTAAATACATTAAACTCGTCCTACCGTAGTAGCTCCGTTAATCGCCGTTTGTAACGCGTTCGACGCGACGCACCTTTGCTTACGAGAAAGGCTTAGGCCTTTATTAATCATCTACAAGCAAATACTAACTCTAATAATCTTACCTTTCGACTGATTCAATTTCATCCTAATCATTAGACGGGAGAAATGACATTTTAAAATATACTTATATTATTAACGTGTACGAATATATCATTAATTACAATTTTTCTATTACTTCGAATTCTAATTATATCGTCAAACAAAGAATTTCTACATCAATTCTTTTCATCTAATACCAACATTCTAATAAATCCCACAAAAACAGGAAATTGCTCAATTGGAATTCCAATTATTTGCTTTCGACGTATTTAACATTAATGAATTATTATCACGTACAATTGCATGGTTTATGTATAACATGTAAAAAATACTCGATCTGTCATCGTACGTCTAGATTACTAAATCGGATAAAAGATATAAACATTTTTGTCGCACGAGATATATATTAGAAAAGTCGTATGAGATTTTACGAATCATTAAATGCAGATTAACTATGCTGTGCTTGTCATGAATCATTTTTATCGGAGAAATCAATGAATCATTCTATATAGTGAAACATCGTGAGAGTATGATTCAAAATAAATAATACACTATTAATGATTCAGAAATATTGCAACATCTTCTTTTCTTCATAATTTGTCATTTCACATGTATCAATTTTAAAATAAAGCAATAGTTCATTTAATCGCCATAACAATATCATTAAAATCGTATACTTGTTTATTAAATATATTCTATTAGAGTCTACTGTATTAAATGAATATTCTCTTGAAATTATATAAAATTAATCGAAATACACTCAGTGTTTTATGATACGTATGTATATAAACAATATAAATGCACATATATACATATAAACGTACGTATACAATTATCGAATAAATTTAAAAGGCGAGCACGAACACACATCTCATTAGTCATAAACGTGCCGATTCTAATTAAGGTCCTCCTTGTTTTACCAATTGAATTAACGAGTTTATCTATCAACGAGAAAACCTTGAATTTAAAAACGATCTATCTTTGACTGACACTCGCGATCGGTTCGCTAAATTAAATGATTATTTTATCGGTTTCAATGAACTATAACGAATAGCATGATTCATATTAAAAAAAGAGAAATAAAAATAATCAAAGATATAATAGTTTTCTCGAAGAATTCTTGCAGAAAAAATATCGTTTGGTAAAGTGAGTTTTATTAAATAACATTTTTATCAAGTTTCGGTACTTAACCGTTGCTTTATTTACATTTTTGTCGCATGTATCCTCTTCGTGGAAAAAATTAGAGGTACTAGTTTATATATAATTAGACGTCATTATATTGTATAGATAACAAATACTTATAGTGAAATAAATACCTTTCTTGCACAATGCAACAAGTACAAAAATATTACGTATGTACAATGAAAATGTTAATAACATATATTTTATTCGATGGCTTGTGATATTAGAAATAAAAAAAAAAAAAATGAAAAACCTTTATCGTATCCCTAATTGAAAATAACTTGACTTAAATTTATACCGTAAAGTCAGGAATGTTAATAACGATCGATTAATGGATTTGCGAGTTAGTCAAACGCTGAGAACTATGAGGAGACTGATGTACATAAGTATTATACGTAGAACTCACATGTACACATACGTGCGGCATTAAATGCGCTAATGAATAAACTTTCGTAAATCTCGGCAAGTAATTTACGCTCATCGGCTAACCAGGTAGCGGCGTTGTTCTAATGGTGTTCGATGCTGCTACGTAAAAAGTGCATTTCCTTTTTATCCAGGACAAGGATCCGCAATATCCCTTTTTTCTCCATTTTATCTCGATATTGAGAGCAAACGGCGTTGCGCACAAACGATCCAAAGAACAAGCGACGATGAAGCTTCCTGTAAACAGAGCAACGTACAAACGAACGAACGAACGAACGAACGAACGAATGAGCGAACCAACCAACCCGAAATACCTTGGCGTACCCGAAAAATATCCAAAAAGCATGCAAATATATTCCTCGCCAGATATGGAGATTTTATTTGCAAAGAAAGTCAATTCTCCCTGCCTTCGATAGAATAGAGAGAGAGAGAGAGAGAGAGAGAGATTCCCACCTACAAAATGGGCAAACGTTAACGAACGTTCTGTCATACAAAACGAATAGGAAACACATTCCATTAATCATTCTCCAAAATCTACAGAAATATTTTAATATTTGTACTATATACACACAGTTGTGCTTATTTCATTGATAAAATTTTATATTTAACATGCATACACATGCACATGCATATTTGAAGTGACCCATGAATGGTGACCGAACGTATATGAAAAGACTAATTGCTATTAACTGTTATATGAAAGATATGAACGTTTCGTTCGCTAACATTCCATTTCCTGTATCTACCTTGGAGCTTGGAATAACAGGCTTTAAAGGTTCGCGATCTTTTTATTCGAGCAAAAGCAGAAAGAGCTTTTTAACAAATTTTGAGTAGCATCAAAAAGATGAAGATAACGCTTACCTTCTTATCCGCAAATCTACAATTTCTGAGCTCGCGTATTTCGCGTGTAAGTACATACATTGGTTCTCGTCTAGAAATCACAAACGCAGAGATAGAATTTAGAGCACAGTAATATTTGAAATCATTCTCCTGAACTTAACTGAAAGTAAAACGTAGCGTCAAAAGCAACCCATATTGAAACAATGTTTATCAAAGAGCTATCTAGCAAGATAGCAAGAGCTAGCTAGGCAAACCGGTGACCCTTCAAAAGATGCAAAGGCTTAATATTCTGTCAAGTAAGGACGAACTTTGATATTAGATCACTTCATTTAATTACCTCTCCTCATTGCACTTTATAGACCTCGATGAAGAACGTTTAAACGAATTTCACGAGACACCTCGAAAGGAGAACTATTCCATCCTCTCTTTCGCATTTCAAATGCGTTAGGTGTTAACATCTATGCACCAAGGAGAGAGAGAGAGAAAGGAGTAAACTGGTAATTGCGATAAGAGCTTATTTGATTTTTTTCTCTGGTAATACTAGTTCTCGATTGGACAAAAGGACCAAAAAATTTGTCAGATCTATCAAATGCATCCAACGAAAAGTTGGAATGAGAGAAATGGAGAAAGCATGGGAGAGGAAAAAGAGGAAAGAGAACCAATTTGTGTTTATCGGTCCTTTGTTCCTCTTTTTCCTTTTCCTACCAGCACCGCAATTCCCTTCCTTCCTTCCTTCCTTCCTGCCCCTTTTCCCTTCGCTCACCGTCGATAATTTTGCTCGCACCATCGGACAAACAAACTACTACTGTTTTATATCGGACCAACCACGTTGTTCATGGCGCACGCTCATTGCGAACGCTAGAATACCCAAAGCTTGTTAATTCGAGCGTGACTATCTCCACAAATGTCCTCTCCCCGTCGATTTTACCTGACGATCAAACGGTCAACTATTAACGCTAGGTCGAGCTACTGTTTGTTCAGTATCGAGTTTGTTTCTTTTCATACTTTCGTTTAAAGCGTTCACTGATATCACTGTTGTTCAACCCTTTTCAAACTAAACAGACTATGATAAGCAGAAATAGAATTTGTGCGAGGGAATGGAAAAGATTTACAAAATAACCAATGGAAATAATTGAAACTGCAACCTATATAATATCTGTTAGAATATCTAAGTTAGTGAATCGATTGGTTACGCATTAGATTTATCTTGACTACGTGATTCACTCTAAAGCAATAATCAGTGTTATTTCCACGAGAAGAAACTAAACCCTGCAGAGACTTAAAACTTCGATAAGACGCGAATGGAGCGGAACGTTGAAACTCGTGGAGGCTACCGTAACACGACCGGTCCTGTACCGATTATCAAGCAATATCTTTTCCTTCTTTTCTAAGCTGCTTTCCCCAACGACGACGATCAACCTTAATATCTTTTTCCTTTTTCTATCATAAATAAGTACCCACACGTGTACATACATACATAGAGAAGGATAAGACGGTTCCCCGTTACCATAGATAATTCCCTGTGTTACCCACAATGATTTCGATAGGAAACCTACTTGATGCTTTTCTAAACGTTCTCTTTTGAAAAGCAATTAAATTTACTAGTTAGAAAAAAAAAAGAAGCAATGGCAAGCAGCCAATGGATAATATTTCTCCCTTGGTCCAGCAGTGTAATAGCGGTAGGGTTAATAGATCCATCTTACAAGTGACCTAGCTATGATGAACGAGGGAACGCAGAATGTACGTGAGTTCAAAGACTGAAAGAGAGCCGCAAGCAAGGATCGTTCTGGCTTGTGCGCAATACACGACAGAAAGAGAGAGGGAAGCATAAAAGTGAATTCCACGATGGTGAGCACGCTGCTAGCAGAAACTCAGAAATAACCGTCGCGGCGTGCTCGTTTCCAAATGGTCTCACGCCGACGCCACGCGCATGAAGAAAAAAAAAACAAATGATGGAGGAAGGAATACAGTAGAAATATAGTAGAGGGAAAAACTCTTGGAAAGATATAACTTAAAGACTTGTTTTGGCTACTACTAAGAGGAAAAAGGGGCTAGCTAGGTAGTCGTCGTTGTCGTCGTCGTCGTCGTCGACGATTGTTGCGATGATGCTTGTTGGTGCGTAGTGCTGCTTGTTGAAGAAGAGGAATCATGCAGTCAGAAAAGGAGGTTGTGCCATCGAAGGTTAACAATGCCACGTTCCGCAGCCGCGGCTACAATGGCATCTTTCGCATCACTCACATTGCGGCCCATTGTACCGGCAAACCATTGTTTCTCGTCCCATTGCGCGCACTGTGGCTCAGGACAGAGTATGAGAAGGTGAGTGGGTGGTAGTAGAGAGAAAAAGAGAGAAAAAGAGAGAAAAAGAGAGGAAATGCGAAGAAGAGTAGCAGCGAGTCGTGTTCGAAACAAAAGAGTTACGTCAGGCTCATTCACCAAAAACGCCTTTGTGCGTTTGGATATTCTTATTCTAATGCACACGCGGAGTAGGACGAGAAAGAGAATGGATGAGTTCGATAGAGGGAAAGCGTTTAAAACGCAAAGACAAAATTGCCTCTTCCTTCCGCTCGATGCGCGCTCGATGCGCGCTCGATGCGCGCTCGATGCGCACTCGTCTGATGCATCGTCTGATGCATCGACGCGCGCCTTTCTCGTCCAACTCCTGGAAAATCGTTCCTTCGATCCTACTAACTTCCTCAATCGGAGTAAGTATAAAACTTGACAAAAAAAAAACACATACCTAAACACATACCATTTCCTAACAATTCATTTCAATATTACAGCTGTTGCACACATTTTACTATATTTTACATTCGTTATCTCTTTAATTTAACGACACTGCATAAGTGAATATTAAACATACTTTTAAAATTGTAATTCCATCTTTTGTACTTTTTTAATAATAGGAACACCAACACTCCAGACGTCATTTCGTTTTCAATAATATTCTTTTATTTTCAATAAAATTGTTCTAGTAGTTTTATTCAATGAAATAAGTGAAATTTAATAAAATTATTAGTAGTATATGTTCATTTACAAAAACACACATACTTGTACTTTAAATCTTAGTTAATTATATAAAATGTACATATACCACACAGGAATGAATAAATCACCTTTCATATGATAATATGAATAAAATGAAAATAAAACGAGTGATATGAAATATCGGTAACTAATATAACACATTGTATTTGATATTTAAAATAACAATATCTAACTTGGAACGTTCGGTAAGAGAAAATCGAATGGATAAGGTAATGGTAATTCCATTCGGGAATATACGCAAGCTGAATAACTTTCATTTCCATCGTGTTTCAACCACTACATTTCGTAGGTAGTATAACACATCCAGGACAGTATCAAGTCCTATGAAATATTCGAGAAGGTAGGATCATACTACCAGCCATATAAATATTAAATTTCAATGTACAAAACGCACGTCGCGATCTTTCATTAGTTTCTGAATGTTTTCCCCAGAGTTGCACACACCCACGCATACATATACGTGTCATCCACTAACAGGAAACATTTCAGTGGCATAACAATATTTCGAATTTTGCTCGAGTCCAAAAGAAATATCTAAATAGATTCGATATCACGCGCATTTTGTTGTTTCCTCGTTTCGCGAGCTTTTTCAAATTTCTTTTCCGTACTGATTTGTACTCTTGGGACTTGTTCCCGCCAATCGTCCTTTCCCCTCTCTTTCTTTTTTCTATATTTTATTCATATCAAAATTTGTTTTCCATTTACAGGCATTTCTCTGACCCAATAAAATGGGTCGGTCCCATACTGCTTTTGTTCGAGATGATAGTTCTGTAACTTTGTATTTTTATTTGTTTTTTTCAATGCAGTAAATAAAAGTTGCTTGCTCGTTCTGCGATGGCACGGACAAATCTCGAGGGGTTCAACGAGACTATTCGATTTTTTTCTTTTTGCAGAAAAGGACCAAAATGAAACGAGTAAAAGTGAGAGATAGAAAACAACAAATTTTGCTATGCACTTCCGAATCATTTTGTCCATCAATGTATTAACGAGCAGAAGAAGAACACAAGAGTGCGTTGGCGTTACTTCCGTTTGCATGGAAATATCCCGTAAAATGACTAATTGTGCATGAGATAACGAACAAACGAACAAACGAACGAACGAACGAACGAACGACTGATAAGTATTATACTACGACGTTTAAGCACTCGTAGTTTAAATAAATCTCGAGGGGAAAAAAATGTCCAAAAGCCATTATTATTCGTCACATATAATTAACCGTTTTGTATTTCTGCGCACGTTTACTTGTAAAACTAATTATCCATCCATTTCCAACCAACAAAACGTATAAAGATACATTTGCAAAGGCAAAACGTATCACTGATTATTACCTAAATATATTCCTGGTAACATCGAAACTAAATACATAGACCAACTGAAACTAATTGCAATAGAAATTATCTCGATTCAGATTTGTACGTATTTATTTGTATATAAATGCAGTATTTAATACGTTACTTGCAATTACTTTAATGAAGGAAGAATTATTTACTTATATTTGCAGCTAAAGACAAATATTGATCGATTACGTACGATTAGATAAGAAATGAAAAAAAAAAAACTTTAATGAACGTTTTCTTATAACGGTATAAATGTATTGAAAATTAAAAATAGATTCTTGCATCGATCGAACGGTAAGACTAAATTTATTATGCAAATCATCACTGCACTACTGCATTGGAATCTCAGATGCATGCATATGATAAACGCGACACATAAGGATTTACACTACTGGCCAAAAGTTTCAAATAACTACGTAAATTTAAATGAAGGCCTTTACAGTAATCGAGATAAACTTAAGTATTTATCAATAAAATGTTCGCTTTCTTCAACGAAAGAAATAATCGACGTTGTAATATACAGGTACAATAAATGTGAAGAAATATGAAAAAATGGATATAAAAGAAAAAGAAAAAAAAAAAAACAGTAAAAGAATAAAGCACACTTTAAAATCGAAGGCTAGAATGATTTAAATCTTCGATCAAATGATTTTAAATAGGAATATTATATGTCGTGTGTATATAATAATAAAATAAGAAGGTTTCGTAAGAAGAAAGAATAAAGTTAGATACGATCTGATAAATGAAAGTGAAAGGAGATCAAAAAGAGAGAGAAAGAGAGACAATATTCTCGTCTGAGATGTAACGAATAGAGGGCGAACGTCTCGGTTTCTCTCTCTCTCTCTCTCTCTCTCTCTCATAGTTTGCGCGCGCGCTTGTCGCTCTTGCACTCGCTCTTGCACTCGCTCTTGTCGGCCTGGATCGGCGTAAGGTCATTGCACACTCGTAAACAAACGGGACGCGCGGCGTCTATGGTACCGACCCGGCGCGTCACTGAACGTACTCACCGACCTATTACACTCGAGCCAAGGTCGTTCCGTCATAGTCCTAGCCCCCGTCGTATCGGGAATCGATTCGGAGAGACACACTGAAGAGAGAGAGAGAGAGAGAGAGAGAGAGAGAGAGAGAGAGAGAAACGAGATGCATTCTTCCTATTCCATATTCATAATAATTAAACAGTATTTTTAATCCCATAAACATTGGATACACGTTCAATACACTATCGAAATAAAATGATGATTTTTGCTCAATTACGTATTATGGTATTAATACAAATATCTACCGTTATATTTCGGAAGTGTTGCTTGGCGGTTAATGTAAAATAAAAGAAAACAAATAATAATGCAACTAAAGTAGAGGAGTGTATAAAAAAGTACAAAAACTGTCAGATCTCGGCTTACCTGTTGCCAGTGATCCTCGAGCGACGCTTGAGCCGAAAAGTATCCGGTGTCGTGTATGAGCTGCAACTCTCTAAATATGTTCCCGCTCGGCAGGATATCCATGGTTACGTGACGTCGTCGTTGACTTTATTTTCCTCCTTTTTTTCCCTCCTTTTTTACTGTTACTTGAATAAGTTAAGCTTTGCTAATTTTTTCAAACACGTCAATCACACAACTTTCGATATCACATAGATGGATAGATAGATAGATGGATAGGTAAATAGATAGATAGATAGATAGATAGATAGGAAGATAGATAGAGAAGAATAGATAAAGATGAAGAAAAAAATATAATAATTTTCCTGTAGACTAGAGCTATAATAATAATAGCTTCAATTAACGACGAGGCTTTTTCTTAAAACGATGACAACGACGACAACGATGAATATTACAACGATGATGCACAACAACCAAAAAACATGATTCTCGGTATCACACTTATATCCTCGCACGAATATTTCTTTCTTTTTATATATTTCGCGCACGTATAAATATTTATTTTTTAGATATATATATAAATATATATTTATCTTTTTCTAGACGAACCAATCAACAAATTACTAATACACGTTTTATTAGGAACGGCACGTTTCGGCACGCACCACACGTGCGCGTACCATCGAAGAAGAAACAACACCCGTATTGTACTGATGATCCACTCCGTTTGACTTGTTATTCTCTTCTATAATTCTTCTTGATTTGATTAGAATTCCAATCGATATTTCGCACACTTATCGCGTTGCACTCCTCGAAGAAAATGAAAGATAATGGGCTATCGATGGAATTAAAGAAAACTGATTACAAAATTAGATAGATAGATAAAGAAAGGARTAGAATAGTAGTTAGGTGAGATTTCACTATGCGACGACGACGACGACGACGCTCTGTCTGGTTTGAGTGGCGTCGCGTACACGAGTCACTCGCGCCAGTATCCATCATACGAGGGACGAGAATTGTGCCTAACTGGGCTCCTGTCAATGAGACCAGTTTACTCTTTCGCTTTAATTGATTACGAGTTCAAATGTACCAACGAATCAAACAATACGAACAGACGCGAATGGGAAAACTTCCCATAAAACACCAATGGATCTGTCAAAATATGCCGGCACAAATAGGATCTTCAAGCTTCTTCACTGTTTTTCTATCTTCCTTATTGAATAAACAATCCTCTGGTCACTGCAATCGAAGGGACACGACGATTTTCTATTTTCTATCCTTTAAATTTGCTGATATTTGACGTTTCAGTTAAACGTCATACACTTGTGAGAGACACGCGCGGATCGCGTCTCCCCTCCACTCGGTCTCTCAAAGCCGGCTTTTCCGAATTCCGCGTGCGTTCGCGCGTATATATTTACATATATACGTTCATTGATAATTTGCTCCTGTACAAGATACATAAACACGTATACGTTGACAAAGTGTAAATATTATATATATATATACATATACATATGTAACTGTTATGTGTGTGTGTGTGTGTGTGTGTATCCGCGCGCGTGCGTGTATGTGCGTGTGTGCGAAATATATCCGTACGTATGTATGTATATCACTTTCCTTCCTCGACGCGAAAACCGAGCTCGATCGACCGCGCACGAGATCAAAAGAGACGGCAACCGAGGACGCCGGGGACGGCTTCGGAAGAAGAAACGCGCTTCATCAGAGATGTATATGTATTTTGTTAGGGTTCTCTCTGAAACACACACTACTACTTCGCAAGGTACACCGCGACGTATAACCCGCGACTAAGAACACCGTACAAACCCTTCCGCGCGAGCGCCGAAGAGTGACTGACGTTCCCTTGCAATAAGCGCCGAACGACCGAACCCGAACGCAACCGACCGACTCCGAAGGTTAGCTCGTATCTCTCTGGCTACAACCACTCTCGCCACTACCGACGGCACGACGTCCTAGAGGCAGCACTGCTCGGTAGCGTCGCGACGCCTTTTTATACACTTTACGGATATATATCATATATGTATATCTGTTAGTTTATTTATTTTTAATATCCTTACAAATGAAACTGATAACAAGACTAGCTATAAACCTCAAATCAAAGAAATAAGAAACAATTTAAAAGCAAGTAACGTTTTGTACAAAAATCATATTTTCTTATCTAGATCAAGATAATAAATTGTATCGTTATAAAGTCGAATAAGATCTAATTGAAAGATTAAAGTTCGCTAAGAGGAAGCGAGCTAGTGATCGATAAACATATCCATAAGCTTACGGATTTGCCGAGTTTTTCAAAATAGACCATAACCGATTTAGTTTAACTCGATGGAACTATTGAACGACCACGCACAAGTATCATAACGGTGTCCTTATGCAAACCTATAGAAAATCATGTAACAAACCGAGTTATGATTCAAAAATACGATAAATGGGTATGCGATATCTACGATAAATGATAACTATTAAAATGAAGTAACTTGTCATTTGGTAGATAAATTATCAAGAAATAATTTAGACATTTTTTTTTTATCTTATAAAAAGTACACTTTATTTGAAAGACATTTAAAGTGGTCATAGTTATCGAATGTCGTTTCTACAATATTAATGAAAACAGTTACTCGTTCATTTGATATACTCGAAAGAATAAAGGAATAATAAAATGAATAAAATGAGAGTATCGATTTGTTTGCGCAAACGTTTTAACAATGGTACGTGTAAATACAAAGTTATTCCGCGAACGATAGGGCCATTGGCGGTGGGTTAGAGTAGCTTACACGTTAAAAATAATTTAGTACGTCGTCTGATAGGAAAGCTGCTTCATAATGGCTATTTGTCGAGTATCAAGGATTAACTATGAACGGGGGAGTCGATAAAGCTTGATTTGCCGCCGAGTGGATTGTTTGACGCATATCCGATTGTCCAAACAAGAGAAAACAGATGCCACTCCAAGAATTATTTGCAAATGAATAATCGTAAGTGAGTTAAACGTTGCTTCTTTCTTATCATTGATTGATATACAAGAAACTTTGATAGTGGTGGGAGTGAAGCAGAAGTTAAAGTGTTATATGTATATAAACATACAATTACTCCAAAAAATTTCATTTTTCTGGTTTTTCGTGGTCTCCAAAACAAGAGATAAAAGACGAATAATTTGTTCGTAAACAACGGAAACTTGAGGCTACGAAATTAGTCATCCTTTATTATTGAAATATTTTTGGTAATAACTGTATTTGTGCTACGTACATGATTCATGGATTCTGCGCGTTCTTTAAAAGCACGTTTCGTGTACGCGTTAGCGTTTCTGCAGGAGCGCTGAAGAATGTTAGATTAGATACGTAAGCTGCGTTTATAGCGTATAGAATTAGAGGAACGAGCGTGTTCTTATCTGACCTGCACCTCGTTTCCGTTCGAGGAATCCCCGCCATCACCGCCATCACCGCCATCACCGCCATCACCGTCATCACCGAGTTATCGTACCATCGACGCGAGCGAGCGAGCGAGCGAGCGAGCGAACGAGCGAACTGGCCACAGTTCTTTTGATATTATTTGCTGACCACGGACGATTGTGCGGAAATGCTGCGGAAATACTGCAAACGCTGACGGATTTTGCAACAACTCTTTTTCAAATATGCTACTTATAATATTTACATTTTGTACACTTTTTATTTCTACTCTAAAATACTTGCAAATAATAATTATTTTGTTAAATAAGGTTTACTCAGATATACTCACATGTTTTTATTTTATGGAACATTTTCGTTACCCTCTTACAAGAAATTGCGTTTGAGAAACAGATAGAAAAGTACGAAACGTGGGATGTACGCGAGACAGAAAAATCGATAAGCTCGTGTGCGTCGTCTTATTCTGCGAGATGAGACTGGCAATAAAATTTCTTATACGAAACGGTAAAAAAGAAAAAAGAACCTTGAGTATCTCTATCACGTCTCGATCTATTCGATATGGAGATACGTAAAAAAGTATAGACAACAAGTTTCTGTTCAAATTCGGGTCAGAAGTTAGAAACTTTGGATAAACTTCAAATTTGCTATAGCAAATACGAAATTACAGTATGTCTTATTTCTAAATTTCCTTCCTGCTCGAATCTCGAAACTTTGTTTCCTTTTGATAAGAAAGATAGAGACACATATATACGAGTATATATAGAAATAAAAGTAGAATATATATATTTGATTGTAAATTCGAAGCGTGTTTTGGAGGAAGGACTCTAGAATGAAAACTTCCTTCCGAAAAAGCAAAAGAGTCGTCCTCTTCCAAGCTCGTCGATTTCGAGAATGAAATATGCGTTTGAGACGAATCGACCATTTTCTATCATTTTCCATCTAAAGAATACTTCTATCCCAGTAAACTGTCTCTCTTTCTCTCTCTCTCTCTTTCATTCTCATTTTCTCGCATTATCGACGCGGGTCGAGTTAGAAGCAGAGTTATCGTCATCGACGAATCACGTTTCTCTTGGAACATTATCGCCAAGGCGTGCTACGAAAAGCTATCGTAGAGCAGTGCCAAAATCGTTACCCTCGGCGTTTCCTTCGGTGTTTCCTTCAGAATACGTAGCAAAAGCCGAAGGAAGAAGCCTGACCTCGCGTAACCTCTCAACTTCGACTTCGTTTTCCGGATACGTTCGATGCTCACTGGGTTAAGACGCCGGGGACCATAAATATGGTGACTACTTCTTGGATCCTAGCCCAACACTCGAGAAAAGCTTTTCTTCTTTTACAGGGACTTTTCATAAAATCCAAAAAGTACATTTTTTTTTATACGATAGATTTGTTTTAAGATCAGTGCTAAAAGAATATTTTTGATTCCTCGCATCAAGTACAATAGTATTTTTAAAAACATGTATAAATGACAAAGATAAACATCAATTTTCAATAGTAGGATAATGAATTTTTGGATAGTTACCCGCATGAGAAAGGAAACACAAGTTTGGTTTAAGTAGTTTGGTCCACCGAAGCTGACCGTTGAAAGTTGCGTAAGGCAGCTTACAGGCTGAGAGAGAGAGAGAGAGAGAGAGAGAGAGAGAGAGAGAGAGAGAGAGAGTACAATGACCCGATCGTTAACCCTCTTTCGGAGAGCTAAGGTCTCCTCGGTGTAATATCCGAGGACTCGCTGGAACTTGGACGTCTTCGTTCGCTTAGCTCTCTCCGATTATGTATGCAAAATAAATGCGCGTCATTTTCCATGTCTCGCTTGACTCGTCGTTTTGATGGTCCAATCAGAAGATTCGTATCCAAAGGGCCTCCCAATCAACCTCGATTTCTACCTGGCTCGCGGCTTTAATGCAACTTCAAATGGA